AATAGATTTCTTTCGGAATATTCTTGAATAAATGGAGAATATTTGGTTATAAATTTAGATTTGAAGAAATGATATTCTCACTTATGCCAAAAAAAATTGAAAATAATATAATCTGTTTATATTAAGATTCTGATTTTTATATATCGGTATATATATATATGATTTCATATATTCTTATCTCATAATTATTAAATGATTAATCTTATATTCGAATTTATCAGATCCGAATCGTTCATATTTTATATTTTTCATTAATTCATATTTCTATTTCATTATCTAAAATCTTGAGATCGAATTATGCTTTTAAGATGGCGATAATTGGAGGCGATAAATTCCAAAAAGAACGAATTTATTATCTCTTAGATGAAAGATATTTCTACAATATTTTTATTCAAATAATTGAATTGAGAACTTACGCCTTTTGATGAAATCATCGCGATGCTAATAGATAACATATCTATTTTTATTTGCCATTTATCTTTATCCAAGGGGTTTCTCCAAACTTCATTTCATGATTAAATCGGTGTTTTTAAGAATTATTCGAATTAAGAATCTGAACAATCCAAAAATTCGAGATGAATGGTAATATCTATCGAAATCTCGGATCTTTCGATTTTCTTGATAAATATATTTATTTATTGGCAATATAGATATTCGCATATCTAGATTCAGATACAGATCTATTTATTAGATCTCGTCTTTAAGAAAATATAAAATCCGAATTTAATTTTTTTTTGAAATTCAAGCAAATATTTGTCTATATTCCTCATTTCAAAAAAGAATAAAATATATTTTATTTATTTTGATAGTAGGCTGAATATATGAATTTGAAATAATTTTTTTGATGATCTTGAATTTTTCTGATTGATTTTGAATAATTAAAGATCGAAATATTTATGAAATAATTTTCGTAAATCCAGAAATTCTAAATTATGAATTTCTAATTCTTGAATTCTATATATTAATTGAGACCTCCAGCATTTCGGAGAGCCAGAAATTAAGATAAAATATTCGAATTACAATAGAAATTCTAAATTTCTACATCAAAAATTCGTCAAAGAAGAAAATCTTTCAAAAATCAAAATATATTTATGTCAAAAAAAATCGTATGATCTGAGAAATTCAAAATTTCTATATAGAACTTGGGAGCAAAATCTAATAATTATTTATTCTTTATATAGATTAAAGATATCTAAGAAAATATATAATACTAGAATAGTATTGATTATCTTATAAAAAAGGCCGCCAAAGATAATTAATCTTCTTTGAGCAATCTTTGAAATCTCTGCGATTAAAATTCTTTGGGATCTTGCCGTGCCATTAAGATCGATCTTTTTAGGGGCCCCTGGAAGTCGCTAGGATCCATCTTTTTGAAATTTCTCGAAATTCTTGGGATCAATCTTCTTTGAAATGCCTCGAAGTCATTGGAATCAATTTTCTCTGAAATTGCTCGAGACCGCTAGGATCAATCTTCTTTGGAATTCTTCAAATTATTAGCCTTCTTCGGGGCCCTTCGAATCTACGAAGATTAATTGTCTTGGGATCTTGGAAATAATTGAGATCAATAATAAGGGAACGAAGCTATTAGAATCAATCTGCCTCGAGATCCCTGAAATCAAGAAGATCATTCCTTTTAGAATCATTCGAAATCGCTAAAACCATCTTTCTTCGGAATTTCTCGAAGTCGCTAGGATCCATCTTCTTTGAGATCTTTCGAAATTGCTGGAACCGATCTTCTTTGAGGATTTTCGAAAATGCTAAGATCTCTCGGACCTTTCGAAGTGGCTAAGATCAATTTCTTTTCGGAAGGACGCTCGAAGATTCTAAGATCGTTTTCTTTTAACATCATATATCAGATCTAAATCTCTCTAATTCAAAAGAAATTTCTTATCCAATCTTATCTTCTAGAAATAGAATATCTTCGTAGCTATCGACCGGGAAGACAGGCAGAGGGAAAATCCAAGCTTATTTTCTAGATCAATTAATTATCGATTTCTCGAGTCGATTTCAATTGCCGATCCGCGACATATAGCATCCTCCCAAATAGAATCGAACATATTAAATATAGATCCAAAGAATCTCAGAATATTTCTCGTAGAAACGACCCTCATCTTAGACCAACTACAACAAAACCTTATCAAAGACAGAATCATTTTATCTAGAGCCAAATACAAATCATTCATAATATATATCAAATCAAAAAATCCATCTTATTTCAGATAAATCCAACTTCGAATAATTCAAAGATTTCTAAAAAATATGATTCTTCTTTCTATATAGAAATTTTAATTTATTTTCATTCATAAATATAAAATGATTCCAAATCTTATCAAAAGAAGATAATTATAATCGTGCCAAAATCATAATGCCTAATAGAAAATATTTATCTCTTATAAATAATTATCGTCACGCAACCTTTTCATTTTCGACGAAAATTTTCTTTCTTTTTCGATTCCAGATTTTACGTCGCGCTCTTCTTTTAGATTTCTAAGATCGATTATAATCTCAGATCCGACTACGCACCCACTAATTTCATCTCCAATCTCAGCAAAATAGAATTCAAATTTAGTTTAATTGGGTTTGGGGTCCGGCGTGGTCGGGTTTATTTAATAGAAATAATTTTTTTAAAAAGTTGCTAGAAAAAATACCCACAATAAAAACGAATCGATTCTATCGACGCCGTGAAATTCGAATCGAAAAATATAGATCCGGCATATAATAATCATCGATTTCATTTATTCAATATCATTATCGAATTTCTCTTCATCAGAATCTATCTTTCTTATTATTCCGAGAATATCCATTCAATTTTCAAGTATTTAGCAATAGATCCCTTCGGCGCGACACACACACACACACACACACTCTCTCTCTCTCTGCCGTTGCATCCAGAGGGTCCAGCAGCGCTAGGCAACGCGTGAGGGCCGATTAGCCCCGCACAAATCGATGCCGAGATTATATTGAATATTTTTCTATTATTCATCTATAAGAATTTCTAATGAATATAACAAATTCTATATCATTAGAATTTCAAATCGTAAAAATTCAGATTAAGATATAATCATATGATATACTATGTTTTCGATTTGCGGATTCTACATTGTTCTTTTATTGTCGGACCAAAGGGTAGTGGCAAATATTTTCTTCGAGAACCTTGTATAAATCATACAAGAAATCTTGTTCGAAATAATTCTGCTTCGTTCTCCCTGCTCAGAATCTTCAGACTTCAGCGTCCTCAGGCCAGTGTGCTCTATTGTGCTCTTCCGGCTTCCAGATCTCGATCTCACCGCTCCCCTCATTCACTGACAAGTCTCTGTTGTCAGCGCTGTCAGTCTGTCGAAGATAGACGATCTGGACTGCTCGCAGCACACGGATCCGCGCTTGCAGCATTGTATGACCACGGTGGACTTGTCGAAACGGCAAGAGGGGTGTCAAAAGGTGATGTCGAAGTTTGCCACTCCTGAGCGCAGCCTGAACGACTGAGACAGGGATCGTCGAACCTCGCTGTTGCGCGGGTGTTTCCAGATCAACACCAGGGACAAGGCTGCCCCGCAAGCGCCTCGGCAACAACAGCTCAGGAAGTAAAGGACCCCGAGAAGCATGTCTATAGACTCACAAGTGCGATGCCCGTCATCATGTCTTGCAATGCGAAGCGACATGGCATGCATCCAACATGAAAGCCTGCATAGCAATCAAAGATCTCGTCATGCGACAAGATGGGAAATCGATCAAGTTAGACCTGCAAGGCACTAGCATCACGAAGCAGACATGCTAAAGGAGCGGAACGAACACGACAGCACATGCACTTGAAGCAATGAAGCGGTACAAGATCACCAGTTGTCCGGCATTGGTGGCGGCTGGAATGGCTTTCGATTCGCACTGATTCTCCCTAGATCTCGCTCTGTCAGGCACCCGAAGTGCTAAATGCAGCTTGAGGAAAAGCGGAGGTTCCCTGTTTCCATCGAAGTCAGAGGAGATGACAACCACACCGTTCTACTGCAGGGCTGGACTTGCCAGGGCGAGCGCATTTCGGCTATGTCTTGATATTCAAAACTGTCTTTGGCGTATCTTGGGGATGCTCCCCATTGGGCTGAAGATGCAGAACCTGGAATTGCATAGACAGCTGTTTCCTTGAACTGCGCCTCACGTTGAAGAAACAAACACAAGAACTAACAAGCAAGCACAAGCAACGTCAGAACAAGGGCCAGTCCATCATGCCTGAGCAGTAGCATGCAGAACTACAAACACATCCAAGCAAGTGACTTGACAACGGCATGGGCAGGGCACAATGTGAAGCACTTGCGCAGGTCGTGCAATGGCATATTGATACACTGTTGTATGAATGTGTAAGAGGACTTCTGAGGCAATGTATGTACAAGGTATGTACGAGAAGATGCGAACAGAGCCCTAAAGCAAACGCTGATGCGAGAACAACGCTGCCATCATCTACTGGAAAGGATGCGAAAATACCAGGCAACAAATAGCAGAAGCTGATGTTGTGAGAAGACTGGGAACAACAGAATGAAACCACTGGCTACGAGGAAGGAACGAACCTCTCATTCATGCTTGGTAGCTGTAAGCCAGCAAGCTAGAAGAGCTCCACGGAAGCGAAGATCGCAAGACAATAGTAAAGCCCGCTTATTACACAGCCGTCGCGCACAGCCAAATAATGGAAAGTCGAGTTGCGCAGCAGCGGACTCTATAACAGCAGTTTAAAACCGCAACGGATTCCTCAGTGCAACGAAGCTGCAGGCCGATGCCATCAATATGTGCGGCAGCGCGAAGCACTGCGGCCCGAAGCAAGAGTGGCTGCTGTCTGCATGGCGATCATATGAAGAGCTTCCCAAAATGCTGCCAAAGAGGATTGAAGCGCATCCATTGCCCACCTTCAGTGGGATTCGGGAAAGTCACACCGAATTCTAAATGGAGCCCAAACCCAACTCTCACGCCTGAAGCGGCTGCATACCCTGGGTGTTCTCAGGCCCAAGGCGCAGCATCCATGAAGGTCCAGTTAGCGCTGAGTGTGGCACTGCCCCAGCGCGCCGCGCAGACATTTACCTGCCAGTTCGGTAACCTTGAACTCCCGAAACTGAAATCTGCCACTTGTTTGTGTTTCGGCTCCAGGTCGCATACGAACCCAAAGCTCGTGCCAGGAGTTATAGCTACTTCTCAGTGCTTTGACAGACTAGAACTGCCCAAACCTCAAAGCCTAGACTCTGTAATCCAAATGCTCCTATGTACAGGGCTTGTTTTTTCTGTCATGATCTGTTCACGCTTGGACGTCCTGGTCATAAACCGACTGATCTTGTTCTTACAACATGAGGACCCCGTCGAGGGGGGGGTCTGAAACAGGTACCGGTACTATTTCCAGGCCGGGTGAGGTTCATGGGACTCTGCATGACTCTGTCAAAGGCAATCGGCTCACTCTCTCTCTCTCTCTCTCTCTCTCTCTCTCTCTCTCTCTCTTCCCAAGAACCTGAAAGTTACATGAATCTGCATTCCTCCACATGTTTGCCTCGACAAAGCAAGTGACGTGGCAGCACAAACCAAAACTTGTCTCTCCTTTTCTCGCTATGTAACTCTCTTGTCTGGAGTCCTGGTACCTATTTCTTCTGCCCCCCCCCTCTCCCAAAATAGGTGCCGGAAATAGTGGCAGGCCGAGTCACCCCCCCCCGGTACTATTTCAAGAGGGTCCTCAATTTATAACGCTTGGTATGAGGACTGCTTGTTGTTCTTGTGATTGAGATTTTTGGGATCGCGGCTATTGGTCTTTTCGTCATCAGAAGCAGTACGAACTGTATGTCTCCTTCATCGCGTGGCAGAGGGTCTTCTTTGCAGCGGGGTGGCCAATGTGGGAAAGCCCCCGCCAAAGCCGAATCCAGTGACCACAGCGCCAGCATACCTTAGACATCCAAAGACCAGTCCTGCAAACGTGCAACCATCAAATAAAAAAACGCAGCAAGAACACCAAACCATATAATACTGAAGCCGAACTTCGACTTATGCTAGGGGGCCATTATTTAGATTCAGATGATCCTGTCCAGTTTGATCCGAGTTGCAAAAGCAGCTCCTGCCCTCCGACCGCCGCCATGTAAAAGAGGGCTTGCCCCACAATGCCAAGCCTTACGGCACTTGAGCGGTTTCTGGAGTTTGGGGTTTAATTAGTGTGATTGGGGCGCAGGCAAAAAGATAGGAAGCCTTTGCGAATCATACGAACCAATTTCTACGGCCAGTATCTACACCACGAGGCCTCACGAGGCAAGAATTGCTTCAACAACGCCTCACATGACCCACTGATGCCTTAGCGGATGGTGCCTGACAAAGCCTGACTTCTGTCTCGCTCGCCATGCTTGGAGATGCAACTGTTTTCCAGCTTTGCAGTCTGATGGCACTCGTGTTAGTATTGTTCCGAGTAGCCAGTGGCCCCCAATCCATACCCCTTGAAAGCATGTAGGCCCATATAGTGTATTCTACATCTGTCTATCTATCTGTCTATCTAGCCATCTATCTATCTACCTACACAGAATACCCATGAAGGCTATGGCTAAAGGACTCAGCTGCTAGAGGAAGGCTAAGGCTAACGGACTCAGCTACTAGGTAGTTAGTGCTCCGAGCGGCAGGTTGCACAGCAGAAACAAGAGGGTTCGGGAGGCGCGGCGGCGCCGAAGCACGTCACAAGCGGCTCCGAAGCCGAGCCGCCCCAGCATGCTCCCAAAATTCACCTCAAGAATCTTTCTTAGCACGAATCTTCAGATGCAGGGTCTTCAGCTTCACGTCTTGAGAGGCTTAAGTTTCGCAAAGTCTTAGCCGTGCCCCTACAGTTCGGCTCAAGAGGTGTCTAGGCTCATGGCTGTATTCCACTGGCTGACGGCTAGGTACCAGACCCGAGCGTGAATCCTCGCATAGAATTCCGCCTGAGGCTCAGGTGGCCTTAGGCGTAAAACTTCGCTCCGAAGCCTGGATGGTGTGCGCTATGGTGTGCATCGCTTCCGGTGCTTTTCGATAGGCTGACTGCTTACGGATTGCCAAGTTCTCGTGCCGTGGCGGCCTTTTCCCCGTTTGCACCGTGCTGGGCAACAACTTACATCTCTTTTCTCAGGGATCGGCAAGTCTGCTGTGGTGTGCGAAGCGGGTGTCGTCCCTCGGTCTATGTCGGAACGCACCTGCTGTGTTCTGGAGGCGGCTTGTTCGGGCGAGGTTCCACTGCCTGCTGCGCGCCACAACCGTCCCGGGCAGCAGTTCGGCCTTGACGGCTGTTCCATGCTAGTCCTCGCAGTTTAACACGATTGCCTGTCGCTTGGCTTAGTTATTCACTCTTTGCAGCACAATGCCGTGCTCCATCCTCTCTCATGTTGGCAGCACTTCGAGCATCTTCATATTGCATGTTGTGGCCGCCTGCAAGCACAGCACCTCACATTTTGGCAGCACGGGTCCTTCGCACAGGTCAGTTTGGGTTTTGAAGGCTCTATAGGAGGTTCAGGGCGTGCAGGGTCGTTCGGCCACACAAAGCAAGGACGCTTACAAAAACTGTAAGGCCTGGCTCCCAAGTCTCGAGGCAGAGGAGCGCTTCACTTCTCTCAGCGTAGCCACTGGCATCTGCGATTTGATACAGATTGGTCAAGATCATCTGCCCAGAACCGGCGCACGTGCAAAATACGCCAATGTACACCCAATACTCCCAGGTCAGCACAGCACGCTGTATGATGATGTGCATGGGCTCCGACTCCTGTCCTTGATTTGGCCTCTCTTCTTGAATATCGGGTAAGCAAGTTGCTGCGGTCAGCATGAGAACGAGGAACACGAGCGCCACGATGGCTAAAGATGTGCTCATGGATCCCAGAGGCAGCAGACTCGAAGCTGTTGCTGCTGTCGTGATAAAAATGACTGCGACTGCGGTGTGCAGGAAGTTTCGAGCTTCGGATCTTGAAAAGCCGGGCTGCGCATCCATGCAGCAAGTGACGACAAAGGTTGAGAGTGCCAGAAGGCAGCTGCTGTATGCGGGAAAGAACTTCATGCCTGGGCTTCACGTACCAAACCCCGGAACTCCACTGCCTACTGCCTGTGCCTAATCCCTAACAAGGCACATACAAGCACTAGAAGGATCGATTCAAGGAAAGAACAGAGCTTTGCCAGGCTGCCCAGCATGCTTTGTCCCGGGCGCACACCCATCAGGCCGAAGTACAATGCTGGCAGCACTGCCTCAAAAGTCACGTCTGCGAGGGAGTTTGTCCCACCCACACAACCCCCCAGCTCTCTCATCCCCTTCCTTGTCCCTCTCTTCGTGACGCTCGACATGTGGACAGCCTTGACCTCGTGTGCATGTAGAAAAATAAGGACATGAAGAACTACCATGTAACCCAGCTGCCCCGCCAGCTCCAACGCTTGCTTTGAGCACGCCTCCAAAGCACAAATTAAGCTAAGAAATACACGAAGTTGCATTAAGAGAGCATGGCTGCACAGTGGAAGAGTTGCTTAGGAAAGCCTGACTCGTGGGCCGGGGCTGGCTGTTTCGACTGAAAGGTTAACTGCTGCATGGAAAGAACAGCAGGGCCTGTATCAAATTACAACCAAGTTGTGTGTTCGAAGGACATGTAGCACACCGGGGCTTGGCTTGCGCCAGTCTGCACGTCAGGCCTCCAATTACCTCGAGCCTCTAGTCCATGGCAGTTTGGAATCTACTGGCTGTTTCCTGTCACTTCATCCCATGGTCCTACTACCAGTTACGTGCATGGCATAACCTTTTCAGGCCCATGTAAAACAAGTTCAGGTGCAATCAACGGCCAACTGCTCGACTGGCGGTGAATTCTCGGTGACTGGCCTATGGCCCATCCGTCGGTCTGTGGAAAGACCTGCATGACCTCAGAAATTTGACCCTTTGCTTCAGAAGCCTCCGGAAAAACCTTCAAGTTCTTCTCTGAGTTTCCTCAGCTGAGGTCCGGACACGCTGGAACGTGGCCCCTAAGCTCGTACCGAGACCGGCCCAGCCAATGCCAAGCAGCAGCGACATCAGCGCCGCACCGGCTTTACCTCCCAAATTTCCGGATGCGAAGGCCTTCCAAAACCCAGTCCCGAAATGAGAGAATTCTGACAGTTTAGACCTGTCCCTGCATCGGCGAAGGTCTTCGAAACCTCTTAGGCGATGCAAGTCTTCCGAGTTTGGAACCACTGAAAACACCCACACTGCCGTCCATGCTGAACAGTCCCAGAAGGCAAGGCCCAATCCCTGACGCCCGCAACCCAGGACCAAGAATCGACTTCACAACTTCATATCCCCAACCCTTTTAGGTGCTCCTGGCAGAAGGGGCCGATTCAGGTTGATCACCACCACAGTGTAGCTGGATAGCCTCCGACGGCAGGGTCATGGGCCGGGGTTCTTGGTAATGTAGCTCTCGCCTCTGGCCGCGCTTTTTTAAACCTCCCTGGCAGCGACCCAAACTACGCATCACGAGTTTTTCGTCCTCCAGCCCTCATCATTTCATATAAACTGAAAGCGGTTGTTGAAGTTCCAGGAACCCCTCTTTTCAGACTTTTGGCTGCAGGGCCACCACTCCAGGGGCCAATCCAGGCATCCGTGCTCACCCGAAATATTGGGGCTTCACTCTCAGACCAGGGACTTGGGGCGCAAGGCTTCATAGTTCGAGAGTTTACAATACGAAATTCATAAGGAATGATCAGAACATCGTCCCCATAGTCCCGGAGCCACCAACATGCAAGGAAACATGCAGTCCGGGAAAAAATCAGACAAGAGCCATGCAACTCGAGCACAAACCTGACGCTCTCTGCTCGGCGAGTGGCATGACACAGCAGCCCAGGCGTGGCCCAAGCTTGGGTCCCAGCTTGTAGTTGCAAACCTAGTGAAGGGCCGCGGAGCACACTCTGGGTTATGAAGTAGCCATGGGCTTCGAAAGCGGGGCAATAAGCTCCAAAGGATTGAAAAGAATCGAAGGTGAAAGTGCACTACTCCAGTGCAAAGAAATCCAATGCCCTGATTATAGCAGGCACAAGGCCAAACTGCGCCGAGTAAGGGGGAAATGTTCCAATTTTGGGAATAGCTAACTGAAAGCTTCGGAATTGACCAGACAAACCTAGAGGTACCCAGGCCAGCGAGAATCACAACATCTCACAGCGATGAGCATATGGAAGTCTGAGTTTCAGCGGGCATCCATGCCCAGTTCTTGGAGGTTTTAGAATTTTAGCAGCTTCATGCGGCATCCCCCCTGGCTGGGAGGCTCGGCCGAAAGCCCCATGTCCCCATGGCCTGCAGAAAGCGGATACTACCCCAACTACCCAACATCCTAAAGTTGTCACGGCCCTATGAGACATACCGAGCAAAGTCTCAAAGTGGCCACGCCATGCGGAGTTCGGCTGAGACTTCAGAGGAGTCACGGCTGCTTCGGGAACAATGCTTCCCGGCACCCTATGCGTTCCTTCAAGATGAACACCAACACGAGAGCAACTCAAGGCTGATTTGCATGTCATGTTGGGACAGTCGTTACTCAGGCGGCTTTGCAGTCTCTGGCTACTGTTGGAGCCATGCGAGATGTTGTGTTTCCCTCTCCAAGACCTGACGAGCCACGCCGTAGCCGAAGGAGGTGGCTGCGTAGAAGAAGAAGGCAAAGTTCATCATCTGAGCTCGTCCAGAGCGCATCCCATGGTTCAAAAGTCAATTTGGGAGCACCGAGCAGTGCCTAGTATGGAAGCCTCGCAGCATCGTCACGATCCTCCTCCTGCTCAGCGTCATCTTCTTTGTCATCATACTACAGACTCCTCTTGGCACCGTTTCATTCGCTCTTTCCATGGGGTCAACTTCGCATGCGGTCTGTCTGTCTTCCTTGCGGAGTCCTTGCGTCGTTGACGATATATGTGTCCAGGTGCACGCCTTCTTTCTCTCACTCTGCCGGTTTCTGGCTCCATCTTTTCCTCCCTGCGGATCGCTCACGCTCAACCTTGCACCCCCTCCCTCAAATAAACGCACTTCATGCTTCTGGCTTATGACCTTCGCTGCAGCGTGCCCCTAAACTTCGAATCCGAAATCCTAAATCCTAACCCTCTGACCCCCAAGCCCTAAGCTTTGTTTTTCGATTGGAGAGGGGACTGTTGTGGCGTGGGAAGATAAGCAGAAGATAAGCATGGTTTACTTCTTCTTTGCTACCTGTTCGATTCTGCGGGCTGGGTTCCAGCACTGAATGAAATATCTTGCACCCAAATCCTACACACCTATGACCCTAAATCCTCAAACCCCTCAACTGGTGCAAAGGGCCAGGTCCGCTTCTCGCAGGGAGAGCCCAAACGTCTCCTTCACCGCCGGGCTAAAGGCGCTGTAGTCGTACCTTGCGCGTTCCAGATCTTTCAAGTATAGGGGTTCCATAACGGTTCCACAGAACCTCATTGAGTTCTGTCAGATCGAAGCTAGAACTGGCTCAGGCTTCTTTTAAAAGTGCTTAGGCTGAAGGGTTCAATGCTTCCTTTAGGGTGTTATCTCCTTTACCAGAGTCTCTCACAGTCACAGCCCTCATGTCAAGATCAGTCTTGAGTTAAAGAGCCCTTAACGAGGCACCTGGACCTGGGGAATTACCAGGCTGCAAGGCATCCTGGGCTGAGGGCTTCAAGTAGAAGTCAGCACAGATCATTGAAGTGAAGCATAAGAACGTAGTACGCCCTATCATCCTTAACACTCCTACGCCTTGAGCTTCGTCCCTGGACCTTTTGCCTGGCCCATGGCTTCACGCTAGAACATCTATAAGGGTCTGCCTCTGCTAGCTGCCAATGTCGGCAGTCCCAAGCTCTCGAAATAGGAGTGACACGTTTCGTCCCATCATATCATCATAACCATCTTCCTAAACCATTAATGCAGGTGCCCCTAAGACGAAAAAACAAACATAGTTATCAGTTATCGTCATTACTAATTAACTGCTCTTCGCTGGATTTGAGCTTGGTCAAGATTTACCCGGGCTATGGGCATTCACTCTCTTGCAGCTATCTCGCCATATGTTTTGGCACTACTGTAGCAATGGGTTTTTGCGGGTTTGCGCTTACAGCCTCACTTGCTCCTGATCAGGGCAAGGCTCACACCTCCCGATGCCATGTTGAGCGTGAGCGCACTGGCCCAAAGATTCCAGCGTCGCTCCTGCCATCGCTTCTTGCCAGGATGGGGATCCATCCTCGAATCTAGCTTGAAGGCGGTGGCTGATTCCTTGAACTGTCGCGTATGTTATGCGAGTCACATGAAGCGCATGCAACTGGCAATGCCGTCGTGATGGTCAGGCTGCAATGCCCACGGCCGAACCGTGTCACACATGCGGATCTGTCTGGCATCTTGTTCTGGAGCTCCGACTGTGGGCCTACGTGCTAGAGCAACACACCACGGCATGCCGAGAATATCCATCGCTTCCTAATCTGCTCGTGTGTGTGCCAGGGAGTACATTAGCCAAGTAGTCGCACGTTTTCACTCCGCTTTTGAACTGTTGTCAACTGCTGTTTGCAAGGTGACCTGAGAAAGCAAGCTTAAAGATACGCTCTGGGATGCGCAGCCGATTGCCTCATCCGACCTTGGTCTGGTTCTTGA